ATTACAAGGTTTTAGCACCTTGGAATGGGAAGAACCCTACTCAGTCAAATAAGAATGATAGGTTTCCTAAGAGAACTTTTACATTCGATGTCACAAAGTGTGATGAAATCTTCGATTTATTAGTTAAAGATGGGAAAATGATAGTACCTCCTGGTGCCAAAATGCCCCCTTTAGATAAAAGACAGAAAAGAGGATTTTGCAAATACCATAATTTTTTGGGTCATAAAACCTTTCAATATTTTCTTTTTAAGGATCTTGTGCAAAATGCTATCCTAGAGGGAAGGTTGAAATTCAGAGAAAAGCCCAAAAACCAGACGAAGGTGGACGTCAAGCCTCTACAAATTGTTGATGCTCACTATACTGAGCCTAAAGAGGTTAACATGGTTGAGGTTGCTCAGGGCTTCGACAGCACTGTCAACATGGTTGAAGTCACTGAGGACTTCGTTAATAAAGTTGTTTTGGTTCATATCACTGAAGAGCTTGGCCAGAAATTTATGACAAATTTTGTTCAAGAAGCAACTGAGGACTTCAACCAGGAAACTACGAATAGTTTCGATAACGAAGTTACTGATGACTTTGCCAAAGGAGTTGTTGAGGACTACAACCATATGATAATAACGAAGGAAACCACTGATGGTTTCATTCGAATAGATAAGGCTGCTGATGGGCTTCAAATGCAGTTCTGCAAGTTAGACATTGTTGATGATGTCAACATGGACATTAACATGGTGGAAGTTTCAGAGGGAACTCCCATGGAAGTCGATCGGGAGTGTCGACAAGAGGAATACAACAAAGGGGCTTACCAAAAAAAGGAGGAAAGCCTCATCGAATTTCTTCACAGGTGCCAAAACAAAAAATCTGAAGTTATGTTGTGCCTCAGGTACAGTGTTGTGTTCAATAAAAACGGCATGGAACATAGAGGACGTAAGAAAGGCAAAAGAGAGGCGCGAGCAAAAGGCCACTTATAACCAACGGGGTTTCGACCCATGAAGATCTGCTTACAGGCAAGACGAGACCAAACCAAGGGTGTCGGGGTTAAGCCATCCACATCCAAGCCAACAACGGAGACTTCTAAAAGAAGTTGGGTGAGGCCAACTGAGGGCAAACAGCAGGGACAACAAAAATAGCAAAAATTCGACATCGATTGAGGCTCATCAATAGCCTACCATAAGGAGTTTGAGGCTTCGAAGAAAATGTCCTACATTTCAAAAAACTACAAGGGAAAGAATCCAATGTCTCGATCTCAATGGAGAAGGGAACAAGCAGGAGAAAAGCTCAAAGAGAGGCTAAAGCTAAGCCTAAAACCATCACTAACCTACCTGCTATGAAAGAGAAAGACGAGGAACTGAAGCCTTTCGACAAATTTCCCGTGGGAAGAAAACTATATTCTGCCTAGGGAAAGGAGGCTAAGGAGAAGCATGATCGAGAAATGGAAGAAGACGAAATGCTTACAGATAATTTTGACTCCGGGTCAGAAGGTTCTTTAGATATCATAGTCAATGTGGTATCAGTTCTTCCCAGAGAATTCGACCAGATCACTGAGGTCAAAGATCTAGATATGTATACAAAAGCAGAAATGACGGCACACAAACCGGTGTGCTACTATGTCATGAACAATGGTTGTGTCGAAGAGCAGAATGCATTATTCGAACGACTAGATGAGGTAATGAAGAGTCATCTTAAGCCTTTTTTATCACTGGAAAGGTGGAGAATGTCGCAGTCAACCAAATTCTAGTGGACTATGGCGTTACAGTGAATCTAATGCCACACTTCATGTTGAGAAGAATCGGCAAGTACGACACAGATACCAAGCCTCATAACATGGCATTCTCCAATTATTAGGGAAAGGTGGGCACCACTTGGGTGTTATACAAGTTGATTTGACGGTGGGGTTGTACCATCTTCCATGCACCAGAGAATCACGATATCAAGACCAGATGGTATCGTCGAAAATATTGAGGCAAATCAAGGCTATTTTAAAGCCCCAATTAACCATATCGACAGGCGTAATTTCGACAAACACTTGGCCAACATTGCTCCGTGTAATCCGGCCAATTTTTCTTTCACCCCAGACGATGATGTTTATTGTTCGTTGTATCTACATCTTGTTTAGGGATTTTGATGGGATAGATAATTGGTAGGAGATGACAACATGCATTACCTTGATGTATCTGGGATAACCCCAACAGGTTAGGGAAGCGAATTCAGTGATGATGACTGAATTCGAGGTGCTAAAAAAGATTTCGACTTACATAGCCGAAAGTAAGTTACAAACGGCCTTAGAGGCTGAAATGGAAAATATGGATGTAGAAGCCAACTAAGATTCACACCAAGAAGGTCCTGATAAGGACTTCGATCCAGAACCTCCTAATAGAGTTCAGGAAAAACAACAAGGCCAGAGGCTCGATGCAATCTATGATGACGAGTCTTTGGGTTTCGAGAAGGATCTGTTTTCATCCATCATCAAGATACTAGTGCAAGATCCACTTCAAGAAATTGACCTGGGAGAGGGGGCAACTAAGAGGCCAACATATATAAGTGTCAACATCAGCCCACAGCTCAAAGTCGAAGTAATCCAACTACTGAAGGAGTTTAAAGACCGTTTCACGTGGGATTACGACGAGATGTCTGGTTTAAGAAGGGATTTGGTCAAACTAAAGTTGCCAATCAAGGCTGGAAAGAACCTAATCAAGAAGAATCCAAGGAGGTTTGCACCGGCAATCCTCTCGAAGATCAAAGAGGATATCAGAAGGCTTCTCTGATGTAACTTCATTCGCACAGCCAGGTATGTCGAATGGTTAGAAAATATTGTGCTTGTTATTAAAAAGAATGGTTCTTTGAGAGTATGCATAGATTTTAGAGATTTAAATGTTGCAACTCCAAAATACGAATAGTCAATGCCTGTGGAGGAAATGTTAGTCGATTCTTCCGCAGGCCACGAATACCTTAGCATGCTTGATGAGTATTATTGCGGTGAGGATCGGATGTCAAGCTATTGGTTAACTTGAATCTTAATTTATTGAAATTCACCACCGAGCTTTGATTTATCCAAAGGAAAGGTTAAAGAAAGAAAAACCTTTTGCGCGATGTAAAAACAATGCTAAAGATTTGGGGACCGGAGGTTGGTTATGCCTAGGGTAGGTATTTCACATCCTAGACATCTGTGGTATTCTACAGGAACCTTTTGTATGTATGTATACTAATTTAACAAAGGGGTTTGCTAGGGTCATGGGATCAAGGTTAGGATAAAGTTCTAGGTAAAGACCTAAGGATAATTCTAAGTTTGCTCGCAAAGATATCACATCTTATGCCTACATATCCTGATTGGGTTTGAGGAATACTTGACTATGGTCAAGACTCCAAGGGGAACAAACATAAAAATGTTTGTATAGAGTTTGACAAAACTCTCTAGATCTAAATTGAACACTTAAGGGGATTGACTTTGATAAAAGCCAATAGGGGAGTAAGTAATCATGACAATGATCCTTACATAGAGTTAACAAACTATATCTTAAAGTTCTAATTGAAGGATATTCCTAACAAGGGTGTCACACCCTAATTTTGGAACCTAAGATCCCACCGCTTTGAGCGTCTTCTTGCATGGTACCTTTAGACCTTTGTGTGCATGTTTATTATGACTAACAAGCGTGTGCAGGTACATTAACTTCAAATGTAGATGATACTTATTCTAACATACAAGCATTTCGGGGCACGACCAACTGATCCTAACTCAGAGTGGTCCTGAGGTTTCTACTATAATCTTAAATCCACTTTTTTGATTCGTTCTCATTTATAGGTCATTCTGGAATCAAGACTTTGAATATAACTAGGGTGGATTGTATGGCCATATCTCAAATTAGATTCAGACCCTTCTTTTTTTTCTTTGGTATCGGCATATGTTCGTTCTTGAGGACATGGTACGTTGATCTTAAAACTCGAGCTTCTTGGGTTTTGGGGTGTTATGATGTGGGCCACGGTATTACAGGCTTAGCTATAGTGCGGTGTTTGTTTTGGATATATTATTCCTTGAAGAAATTTGGTTTTTTTCCACGGTTCCACCAAAGAGTTTCAAAGGTCAAGATTTGAAAAATGTTGGTTTGGTAAATATGATTATGACGCATTCACCATCCAAATTTACAATTTATGGATTCAAAATTACAAGTTGAAGGTTCACATTTTAAGACCAATCTTAATTTGATAGAAAGATCCATCAAAAGCTCAAAGGCATGAAAATTTACGTCTATATTATCCCACCATGCTAGAATTCAAGTTATAAGAGGAAAAGGGTTCTTATGTGATTTTTATCCATTTTTTAATTCTAGAGATCAAGACTCATGTTTCTCCCAAGATTCAACTGAATTGTTAAAACTTAAATCAAAGCCATCAATCCAAGCTCTTTTCAAATCTCATTTCAATTCTTAAGAGAAAAAAGGCATACAATGAATGTAATTCCAAGGTAGAAAGTCTAGTTATAGGGTGCAAATTTTAACACTCTTGTTTCACATCCCATATTCCAAACACGTGGTACACTAATCCTAATTCTAATAAGCTATCAAGTGTTGAGCAAATTCCTGCCACGGCCAAACGCCTCACAACCGCCCCTGCTCAGAATTAGGCATAAAATATTTCATACTTGTAGACTATATCCATAGCTGATAGATAAACAATGCGCGCCGTGTGCTGCCAAGATCATCAAACCCTTTTACTTGAAGTATAAAAAACTCGCCACAGCGCCAAGACTTTTGAAGCTGAGAAACCCGTACACACCACGGCGATCACTTCGTCATACCTACACTCGACATATAAAAAGTAAAACATTACATACCAAGTCACCAGGCAACAGGAGGTGTTTTCGTTCGAAAGTACATGTTTTGGTAAACCAAATACTACCAGAACTAAAAGAAATACCTGCACTTTTTTTTTACCTACAAAATTCTGAAGTAGTTGATGAAGAAGATTGAGTCTAATCTCGAGTCGGAAAGTAGCACGATCTCGCATCGTCATACCCAAGGCCTACAACATGTAAAAACAGAGTTAATAGCAGTGAAAGATACATAATCATGGCAGAATTTTGAATCACAAACAACACCTACAAGTAAGAACTTTGATTCATGGCCTGATGGAACTCGTGTAATCTAAAGAAATAAATCCAAATCTCTAAGTTCACTTTAGTCAATTCACCGTCTTGGTTTGTTCATTCCAATTTGCAGCAGTGATATGATTATAAATGGACTTACCAAGTCTTGCACTGGCTAACTCTCCAAGCGTAGAATGCGGTTTTATGAAAGATATACTGAATCTGAAATAAAAGAACCCAACAGAGAAACATGAAGATGACAGCAAGAAGGAAACAACATCTATTTTTAAAGACATCATAACCCCCAAACATCTCTAAGACAACTTGAAATACTTCCAAAATGATATCCAAACATGTTTCAATCAAAATGGAAAGTATTAATTGAAATTTCCATGTATCGTGAAACCAGAAAATAGGAAATCAAAACCTCTATAAATGTTCAGACATGTCGGTATGAGAATGGAAAGAAAGTTAACCCGGAAACCACGAGACTCTGCCTATAAGAAAAAGTTCAAAATTCACCTTAGGGGGAGGATTCTCTTGCACAATTTGTAAATAAAAGCCACACATCATACAGAATATTAAAAAAAAAACGAATCACCATACAAAAAACATCACAGAAAGCATAGTCCAAATCGCAAGGTCAAACGAAGGAGGAGTAGAAAGAGAGAATTAATTCACACCTGAACAACCCACATTTCTTTGTAAGCATTTCGACCCTTTTCCCGTTGGTGCCCTGTTAGATTGTTACGCAATGTTGATTTCGAGTTCTCCATGTTTTCTCTTTCGAATTTGAGATTTGAGTGAGGACGGTAGCTCATTGTTATTCCATAACACGATGGCAGGACACACACATGAAGAAAAAAATGCAAACCCACCAAATCACCGTCACCGAGATTTCCTGCGAGGCAGCCGCCTAGGTCGACTCGTTCCGCGAGAGAACTTTGGAGAAGAAGGTCGTGAAACGAAGCGAAGCCAGCCGCGAAGCTCTTTCCTAAATTGCCTCATTTACTTTTTTTGGTTTTGACCTAGTATGTTTGGGCTAAAGTTCAGGCCCATTGCTCTTTTTTGGGAACATACTTTTCCAGCAGCGATGTCGGATGGTGTGGTTTTTCGGCGGCGATATCGGATGATTTGGTTTTCCGGCGGCGATGTCGGATGTGTTGGTTTTCTGACGACGACGTTAGATGATTTTGTTTTCTGGCGGCGATGTCGGATGATTTTGTTTTCTGGCCCATTGCTCTTTTTTTGGGAACCCATGCATAAATTCTTTAAGTTGTACACGCTGCATTTCATTTGCATCATTTTTTCCCCGCTTGATCATTGACTTGTCAAGTTGATCAGCTTAGGAGTTATCCTTGCATCTTAAGATAGGATAGACTTCCTTGGTATCTCTTCAAACTTAGATAAACCGTTAATTCAATTCAATCTTATTCTCCCCACAAGAGAATTAGATGTGATTCATATTAATAGTCGAGATGTAATTCTCCTTCCCCATAACGCAATCGAGAGATGTAAAATCTTTTCCGCTTGAGAGAGGTATGTGTCATCCTCGTCGATAAAATCCGAGTTATAACCCTTCTCTCAATATGACGCAAAGACCATCTCCTACAGGTTGTGGTGGTTAAGTTGAGTGTTCTCCCTTAAGATGACGACTCTTATTTTATCCTAGAATCAATCAACAAACCTTCTCCCCCTAGAACCTTGACCATAATCAAGAAGTTCCTCTATCCCTTTTAGGGGAACTACGAATACTCTAATTCCACTCCCGTTATGATACGTAGGCACAAGATGTGATTTCTTGGCAAGTATACTTAGAAATAAACCCCTTAGGTCTCTTACCCTTAGCAAACAACAATAACACAATAAAACAAGAGGTTCCTGTAGAGTACTACAAATGCTTAGGATGCTAACACCTTCCCTAGGTATAACCAACCCCCGAACCTTAGATTCTCTAGCTTTGCATTTGCATTGCATCTTTTAGGTTATTCAATCTTTTTCCCTTCCCTTGGACAAATTAAAGACCAGTGGTGAATAATGAATTAATGTTCAAGTTAATCAATAGCTTGATATCCAATTCTCACCGCGACAGAAATGACGACTTCACTGGGGATTGGTGTTTCACTTGAGGGTTTCCCCTAACTTGTTTTTTGTGTTTATTGTTTATATATAATTTGTTTATCTATATGCTTATTTGTTTATGCTTTGGTTGATATCCTTGTGTGGTGAGGAATTTCCTACATTCGAACTTGAGTGCACTGATGATAGGAAGGTGATATATTTGAGAAGGCTTATAGGGAGTGATTCCCGACCAAGCTAACTTGAGAATCACTGCTTAGTTGAGGCCCTCTTGAAAATAGTACTGTTGGACGAGTAATCGTGAAAACACTTACTATTTTCAACCTAGGAGCCTGTGATACTGCGAACCTTTAGTTACCCTTAACTTAACTTGGCCTTTCTTAGGACGTAGTGCGATGACTATGAGGACTATTCCCAAAATAGTTGATACACGATGTGTCGCTACTCGAAAAAATGCAACGACGGAGAGGCGAAAAATGGAAAAACAGAAGAGTCGCTATCGAACTTTATTTATCCCATGAGGGGAAGGGAAAACATTGAGAAAACCCTAGAAAGAAACGGATAAGATGGTCTCGCGACCAAAGAACGGGTTCGGAAGCCGGTTATGCGAAGGGAAGGTATTAGCACCCCTCGCATCCATCGTACTCGATGGGAACCATTTGTTTGTCATATGTGTGATGATATCTGCTAAAGGTATTGTTGTATAAGAGTGTTCCAAGGGATAAAAACAAAGGTTAGAAACAGAGAAAGGAGAGATAAAGGGGAAGAAAGGACTCGGTAGGACTTTGCGGTCCTAAGCCTACGTATTCTCAACAGATATGAGAATGTCAGAGTCAACGTAGTTCGGGAAACTACGGGTGATGGGGGGAAGGTTTCTCTGAAGACATCGTCGTCTTGTGCCTACGTATCCTCATCTGGTATGAGAAATTCATAGTAAACGTAGTTCGGGAAACTACGGGAAAGGTCTCGATCGCACTGGGGCGAGAGAAAAGGTTCAGATTAACAGAGTGGTCTCGATTGCACTGGGGCAAGAAAAAGGGGAAATTAGTTGTTAGTGTCCTCGTCAAGGATAGAGATCCTTGTACCTACGTATCCTCATTAGGGAATAAGGAATCAGAGAAGTCGTAGTTCAGCCTGCAGTTGAAATGTGAAAAAAGTGAGCTCGCCAAGACATCGTCGTCTTATACCTACGTATTCTCATTTGGTATGAGAAATCAGAGCAAACGTAGCTCAGGAAACGATTAACCGGTGTTTTTGTGGATGATGCTAATGTGCGCATTCTAGCAGTTAGGTGTATTACAGCTCGCTTATGGAGTCTTAGGCGTTACCTGTTTGCGGTGGAACGGACGTAACATATCCTTTTTGAAAAGATAGTTTTCGCCCTCGAGGCAAGATGTCAAGTTTGATTTGCGAATTTATTTTTAGGGGTGAAATAGGTCCTCAAATAGTAAACCCTTGCGGGTAGTACCCAATTCTTTATCTCAATAGAATTATTATGAAAAGGTGTGGCGAATACAGTCACGTCTTCGTATTGAAAGACGAGTATCGAGACCACACACTCTACAGTGAGTATCCTGACACTCGGAGAGGAAGAAGTCTGCACTCAATCCTCTCTCTTTAGTTTAATACAAAGAAAACTTTATTCTCTTTATTAAAGATGTTTTGATCTTGAATGGTAAGTGCTTTACGATAGTGAACCCTAAAGGTAATGTCATGCACTCGGGATAGGAGAAGGCCTACACCTAACCACTCAATGACCATTCAAGTTTTATTGAGAAAAGAATTTGAAAATGCACTTGGTACGAGACCAAGGTTTTAGGAGAAAAGTTTTGAGAAGAAGTTTTGAAAATATGTGAATAAGATAGGAAATGAATATGAATATATACAAGATACAGATGATATACAGGATATATAACAATATATACAAGAATATTCACAGTAATATATCAGAATAAATGTCAATGAGTACATGAATAAGATAATATCGGCTGAAAATAAAACAGTGGTATATTCGACTGAAATTAAAGTTAGTCGTATATTGACAGAAAGTAAAGTTAGTGGTTAGTTTGTTAGTAAATTGAATCGGGGAGAAATGTAACGCTAAACTGCCGTAGCTCGACTCATGATGAAAGTCGAACTATAGGAAGCCGTCTAAATTGATATTCGTGCTAAAAACAAGATAGAGAAATGATATTGAAGATCATTCTCCAATTTAATCATGTCGCACGGACAAAAGAAAGGCAAGATCTCTTCTTAATCGTAAACATCATGTCGATTAATCGAAGGTAGCCTATCACGATCTCAAAGTAGAGAAAATGACCCCAAATGTTCATTTTCCATAGATTTGAAATTGTGAAGGTTATGGACTTCAATAAATCGACGCTTACAAATCGAAAGACTTCATAGATCGAAGAAAATTGAATAAAATCGAAAATGAAGAAGAAATTGAAAATCCATAATGAAATATTTACCAAGATTAAATACAAACTAATATTAATAAGTACAAAATGTTTAACAAAACGATTAGCAAAATTATTAGTAAATTAAGAAAATTCATATTAAAACTTAGAAAATTAACAAAACAATAATAAAATAAAATAAAAGAAAAGAGGAGGGGGTATTTGAAAACCGGAGGGGTGTGAAAATGATAAGGGATCATATGGGCCCAAGGCCCATCACCCTTCTAAAAACGCTAAAACAAGAATAAGAAAAAGATATGGGCCACTAGCAACCACATAACGCAAGTTCAGCAATACATAGGGTCGAAGAGGAATAATCATCAACGTTACTTCTAAAACAACAAGAACCACAACATTAATGCCATAATACCTGTAGCATTTTCCAATAAAAAAAACAGGTCCAAAATGCCTATCAGATCTATGGAAACGAACTGGAAAAGCAAAAAACTACATGGTTGGTATCATGCTCAAGAGAACGGACTACCTTCCTCTCCATCATTTCCTGACACCTCAAATAGATCGAAAGAGGTTTCATTTTCGACCTCATTCATTCACGGTTTCACTACAAGCTTCAGGTTCGAGCTCGTCTCAGATCCAATTTCTGCGAAGGTTGGTGTTTTTGTCATTTTGTCTTTAGTTTCCACTTTCTCCTCGTCTGTTATGCTCTGTTCTCTCTGGATTTTTTGTGTCGCTGGGTTTTAGGTTGAGATGTATGAAGGTTGTGAGTGAGGGAAAAGAGAAGGCGAAGAGGAAGGTTTGTGGTTGTAGGTTGAATGAATTAAAAAGGGTTTCTAGAGTGTAATAAAGGCTCGGAAGTCCTAGAAAAATGGGGAGAGTTGAGTTCTATTTATAGAGGAATAAGAAGGGGGAATTGGGGATGAAAAGTTTGTGATGAAATTGAAAGGTTTAAGCTGTTGGGTTTTTGGAATTTTGGTGCAGCTCATGTCACTGATGAAGGGTGGTCTTTGGAGAAGGGAGTGGTGGTGAGTTATGTTGAGGGAAGATAGGAAAAAATGCAGGTGTCTTTATTTTTTGAGGGCGGATTCAAGTTGAAAAAGAGGTCATGTCAGTTGGAAATATTTTTTAAGGGAGTTTTCTTGTTATTGTCTTCTCTTCTTGTTTTTTATCCATTCCCCTCCCTGTTGCGTTGCCATATATGCAGGTTTTTTTGACATTTTGTGCTGGTTGATGTTGCATAATGTGTGGTACTGTTGTGCGGTGATCCGTGTATGACAGAC